CCCCCCCCCCCCCCCACCTTTTATGGGAAAGGAACGGGGGCCCGGCCGAGCCCCCCAATTGGGTCGGGTGTTTCAAGCCGCCACCATTTTTTTGAATTCTGAAAGGCCGTGTTTTCTCCGTGGTCTAAACGATGAAGCCCATGTGAGATCATTCTCCAACAATGGAACTATGTTATAAAACTCGGAGCCTCCCCCCCCCCCCCCCCCACCACACACACACCAGATCCCGAAAGGAAATCTCTTTCGCTCAGGGCTTCTGGTCCCTGTCATTCAAAATTAAAGTGGGATGACAGGAGTATCCTGTGCTCGAGAGAATCACACAAAACTCAAAAGGCGACCGATCACCACGGGGGATCTTGGGGGTAATTCATACCCCGGCGGCTACCAGAAACTTGATTTTCAATACGTTTATTTGTTGGGTATATCGCCATATGTCATCGCACTGGGATCTGAAAGGGCATATCACATTTGTATGACGAACGCGACACGACGTCAAGCCAAAGGGGGATTTCCGTCACTCAAATAAAGTAAGTAGGAAAATGGGGGTGTGAGATATCACACCAGAGTGTGACGAGATCGTGATGGGCGTTCGGACGAAACAAAAAAAAAAAGGTATTTGAAGGACGGGTGGAGGAAGAACAGGGCATTTTGCTCAGGTGTTCTTTTTTCTTGGCGCCACGGATTTCTTGTACGGGCTCCTGCTTGATGCTTTCAGGTGCGACATGGGCAAAGGAGCACGGCAAAGGCTTTTCCCCTCCAAAAGGGGACCTCGAACAGCCAGACTTACAAGGATGACTAGGCTCCAGTGTTCTTGTCCTGGAAACTGGCATCTTGCCAATGTGTGGCCTATTTGTCCCTTCAAGCCCTTCCTTCCCTTGGCCAACATCACACAACGACACGTGCGGGTTGAACGAAGCTTCGAGCAGATGGATGGCTTACGTAAACTCTGAAGGCGGTTTCATTCATTGGAATGATTTGAAACATGCATTGCATCCAGGCGTAACTGAAGTGACACCCTCAAGTGAGAAAGGGCCCAAAATTAACACACTGCATCGATCACAGTGGAACGGGGTTTATGGCGAAGAGGAAGAGGCAAGAGGAAGAAGCAGAGGAAGTCATCCCCCCAGCAAGAGATAACCAATGTCATTATTGGGTAAGTGAGAGAACGGCCGTTTGACAGTGAACACTTGTGGGGACGGCGCTTGTCATTTGACTACGTCTTGTTTGTTTGTTCAGGTCAAGCGGAAAAGGAGATACTGCCATCTGGGGGTGAAGCCAGGGAAGACCTATTGTGGGCAACACTCGGTTCTGGAGGAGGGAGAGCCTGGTGATCGCATTCCATGCCCTTATGATCCCAAACAGTACGTTTCCTACCCACACGATTTGTTTAAAAGGACGTCAAAGCAAACCCGTCTGTTAGCAACATTTCAGCAAAAGATGTGGAAAAGCATCTCAAAAAGTGCAACAGCCGCCCCAAACCCTGTCCCCCATTTCACGTTGACGATATCAATGTTCCTCGTTTCCCACCTACGCTCGCATCCGATGATGCGGATGGAATGACTAGTAAAGACCGCCTAAGAGAATTGCCGCCCCACATGTTTACTGCATTAGTGGACAAAATACGGCGGTTGCATGCCAAGGTGTTACCAGAGGGAAAGAATGACTTTGATACGTTCATCTTATCACATCCCGCAATGGCCAGTAGACTGTAAGTGCTGCGACTATAGAATCTCATTGCCGTCGGGCACGACCCACATTCTCACTTGCGCAGTGATATATCACACAGTGGAAAACATGCCACACAACAATCATCGCTGCTTGGCCACTTGGATCGTTTGGGACTCCTCCAGCAGAGTAACGTATACATTGAATTCGGATGCGGAAAAGGCGAACTCGCAAATTGGATACACGTCGCCGTCGGTGACCCTTCCAGATATGTTTTGGTGGATCGTCGCAACTTCCGGCAAAAGGTACCGTGCTGTCCAACTACTCTAGAGGGAAAACACGGTGCTAACCAGGAGTATCATCAGTTTGACGCAAACATCAAACTCGACCCGACAACATGGGTTGATCGGCTCTCCATGGATATAAAAGATCTCGATCTAACGCAATATGGTCGCATCCGATCAGAAAAGAGCGTAGCAGTCTCTAAACATCTTTGCGGATCCGCAACTGACATCACTCTCCGGTGCATCGGACATTACGTAAAGAACGGTGGCAACATTCAAGGAGTCGTCATTGCACTTTGTTGTCACCAGATTTGTAAATACGGCATGTACGTTGATCATGAGTATTTGGATGAGATTGGGGTCAACGAAGAGGAATTTCGGTTCATGTGCGTGATGAGTACGTGGGCTGTTTGTGGAAGTCGGGAACAACGGAGGGCTGCTGAGGAGGAGAGTGCTCTTAAAGGTGTCGCAAATGGGGAGAAGAGCCAGACAGAAGAAGAGGATGACGAAGAGGCAGATCAACACACGATTGAGGCGGTCGATGCCGTAGATTTGCAAAAGGACGGTGAACATTGGTCAGGCCTGTCGTTCTCAGAAAGAGAGAAAATCGGTTTTCAGTGCAAACGCATATTCGATCATGGCCGATTATTATATTTGAGAAGATTGGGATTCGAGGCGGACCTCGTGTATTATATTGGTAAAGACAAGAGCTTGGAGAATCTGGCGCTAGTTGCGCGGTGGAAGGGGGGAGACAGCTGATACTCTTAGAGCCATGCACAAAACTGGGCGCAGTTGAAATAGACGCGAGAGGCAACAGAGCAAAACAGCGAGATTCCGTTGCAACAATTTTTTGAACATTTATTTACAGATGTAAACCATCACTCACTGATCTTATTCATCTCTAAATACTGTGTGTCGGCAACTTCAACGCGCTGTCCAAGAGCCCTCGATGCTCAAATTCACGCGTATTCCAATTTAAGGTGTTTAAGGTAGGCGCGTGGAATCTTGGACGCGTGAAAAAAAAAAAAAAAAAAAAAAAAAAAAAAAAAAAACACAAGCAAACCTTATAGCGTGTAACTTTGGCACATCACCCTGATCCGACATTAGGCGTACCCTGGCAACGACCGCCCAGGAACGCCCAGAAATTATTGCAGCCATCCAGAATTGATTGAACCAGGGTCGCTCATGACGGTAGCTGGAGAACCAAATCTGAAGATCACACCCAACTGAATGATCGGGCGCCAGGCGCGGACCTCGGTAGGGTTCAGTTGACCCCTTGAACGCGTACGCGTGTGGTGGAGGACCCAACGCGTCAAGAGTACCTGCCCTATGACGCACCTCATGGTTCGGTAACGCTTATGCGATCGAGCACATGATGACGGTACTGGCGGTATGAACAGGGGATGCCCCTCCGAGCCTCCGAGATGTATCTGCGCAACCCCTGCGGTATGAAAAGGGTGCAGGTATACGAGACCCTCCCTAGGAGTGGGTACGGGATGTCTCCGACAATGTGTCTATCTTCTGTCCATCTTTTTTGCGAGATCGTGATCGACGTCATCGCGTCCCAGATCTCTAACGCCAACATCTCTTGAGCGGATCTTCCTAGTGAAATCTTAAACGACGTCATGTATCTCGAAAAATCTGTGGATCTCCGTCCACAACATCGAAAGGACGATTCGGGCCAAGTCAATCCAAATGGAGGATCTGGTAACGTTCAAGTACCCAACACATACAAGAATTGCAACAGCTACGGGATGCCGAAGCGGGCCACTCAACCTTGAAACACTGCAGCCTCGTCAATGGGCAAGGCCAGCAAGGCTCAAAGACTCTTTTGTCGGTGGCCCCGAATCGGCGCTTAACCATGAATACGTGCATGCCTCAGCAATGAAGCACTCAGCAACGCTTCAAGGAGCCTGCGCATATGCAATGCTTGCCGTGGGAGACCGAGGGGGCCACTTACCTACGAGATGCGCCGAGGCGGGCAACTCGACTTTAGAGCGCTGCAGCCTCGCCAATGGGGCCGAGCAACGCTTAAGCACCCTTTTGTCGGCGGTCCCGAATCGGCGCTTAACCCTGATATCCGCGCATCGGCCGCTGAGCCCACGCGCACGCCCCATCATCTTCCCTCACCTCAACAATCTGCCGAGCCCACGCGCACGCCCCAGCAATGGAGCGGGAGGCTCGGCAGCATTGGACGGTCCTAGCGCATGAATTTTAGCCGATGCCACCATCTTCACTCACCTCAACGGCCCGCCGAGCCCACGCGCACGCCCCAGCAATGGAGGGGGAGGCTCGGCAGCATTTGAACGACCCGGTCCTAGCGCATGAACGGTAGCCGATGCCACTATCGTCCCTCACCTCAACAATCGTAATCGCTTGACTGCATCCGCTTACATGGCGATGTGAGAATATCTGTCAGCCAGAAACGTTAGAGTATTACGTGTACGTCATTGTGAGACCATCTTTCCTCCTTGACCAAATCCGTAGAGAACGCACTAGGAAGTGCGTGGACAAGCTGGCTAAACGCCGCCTTGCAGTCTTGGCCGAATCCGTAAAGGGCTTGAAGTACGTGCGCCAGACTGGCTGATTGCCTCCCTGCATTCTTGGCCGAATCTGTAGAGAAAGTGAAGTGAATTTCTTTTCGGTAATAGGAGCACTTGCTTTCCTTTTCGCGTTTACAGCCTGTCGAGCGCAATAGATGAGTAAGTGCGCATGTCCAAAGGCGATGCGTAAGTACCTTGCGTTTACATCTTGGCCTCATTCACTGAGAGGAAACGCTTTGTGGCATATATGCCTGCTCTGTTTGTCACCCGAACAGACTGCCGAACCGAAAGGGTAAGGAACAGAGAATGTCGGTAGCAGATGTAGGCTGTCGCTGTACCAACCTAGCGCACCTGTCGTGACGCCTTGGCCGATTCCGCTGAGAAGGCAGGTTCTCAGACGGATGAGAGCTGCTTGTAAGCTCGCGTTGGTCATGCTGTTGAGATGGTCTGAAGACCGAGCAAAGGCAAGATGGAGAAGGGGGGAATCGGCTGGAGGGGGCCATTTTATAACCCCCAGGGCACGCGTGTGTTTACTGCGCACGAGATGGGCGTGTTGTAGTGATAGAAGATTTCTTTGCTAATTGCTTACGTAATGATTCCCACAAAGAACGCTATGCTGCGCAATTTGCGAAGAGTACTTCTTTGCATCACGACATATGTGACATCCAGATAAAACAAAATATTAGAGATGATTGGAGTTCAACGAGATATAAGCTTGGGGCATACCAGCATTGGCAGTGTAGGATCGAATTGGATCTTCCCAATGTTGGTACCCAGCACAGTATGTCAAGACTCTCCAGATATTTGCGCACAATTTCCCCTGCACGATGTCTCAGAATGACATTTCAAATATTCTATCGAAAGTGTGCAAGGCTCAATCTACCGCTAACAGAATACAAGAAAAATTGTAGCTCATGTCAGGTCATTAAGATTTGTCTAGATTTTTTTTGAAAGGTAATAAGCGATGTATCGTGAGGAGAGTAGAGTAACTCGCCCTCACGGTGCGCCAGTTTTCCTCTCCTCCCATCTATAATCTCTTCGCTCTCGTGATAGTCCATTATGACCTACATTGTTCGTAGTAAACTGCAGCTCTGCTGTTCTAGGTGAACTCACCTTTGATCTGGCTAGAAATCAGTATGAAGCCCTCCGGCTACCCGTCGGATACGGCTCCCCTCCTGTCCGACGAGGGGAGTCTCCAGACCCTCAATCCCATTACGGCGCAGCTGCGCAACATCGCAACCTGCATCCCGCACACCTCGTCTTGGTGTGCTCAAATAGCTAGTCCACTCAGGAGCGAAATGAGATGCCTGCTCTAATCCGCGCTTCTTCGTGGTAACCTGAGGGGTTGTGGAGTTCTGTTACTTTCCCCCGATGAAGAAACATGCGGCGATCCGCCATCTGAATCGAGTGGCATGGGGGGTCTGAGCAGCCGGTAGCCAAGGAGTCCATACCACCAGCCGTGGAGTGCTTTTTTCGTTAATAAACTAGTGCTGGAGACACAGAACATTGATTGAACAGTGATATCGGTTCGGTGGCGTGTCGATTTCGGCTCTGACTGAAAAAGCTTCAGAAAGCTGTACGTATTGCAGACGTTAAAAATTGGCCGAGGTAGCCAGTGGTATTTGTTGTAGCATTGGGCTTTTTTTGAAAGACTTGTGATTAAAACTGCCTTCTAATATTTTGCATTTAAATAGTCGCGCAATATTTTAATACGTTTATCATTCTATCTTCTATGTACCCTCTAATTAGAGAATCTACATTTTTCGAAATCTAGCCTGAACAAACACACGTTCCATTGACAAGTCCCGCTTGCGATTGACCACCGTCTTAACGACGTATTGATTTTCAAGCACTTCGAACCCGGCTACTTTGAACAGTTCTTCTAGGCGCTCTGAACAATGGAATGAGTCCGTGCTTAACATATTTCTAATAACAGACGAAATGAGGATACCTGTACTGAAGAAATAAGAGAAGGTTCCGTCCTGTCGAACATAAAAATTCTCGTCCATCTTTGATCCAGGTTTAAAGCGGAGCTGGGCAGCATCGTAGAGACCTAGAATCCGGTAATGAGAGTCCAGCAAAAAAGGGCCCTAAGCAATCGCTTTAGATATGCATACCATAATCTCTGAAGAGAACGATTCCTCCCGGTTTAAGAACGGTTTTGAGATTTTCTATTGATGCTGACATGTTGCTACAGAGGCAATACTGTTCATAACTGAATCAGAAAGATGCTTGCATTGAGGGAGCCACTCACGCTGGAGGTACTGCACTTAACACAAATAGTGCAGATATCAGATCTAGTGATTCGGCGGGGATGCTGTCGGTGAGAGGCGATTTGGTAATGTCGCAAACAAAGGCTTTGCAGCGGCCTTCAGCATATTTCGGATCTGCCTATGCATCAATAAGCTCTTTGACACTGGATTCTTATGATGTATTCCGTGACTACCTTGACGAAATCAACAGCTCGCGTCGACAGGTCGCACGCGTAGATGAAAAGCTCTTGATTGATGTCTAGTAATGGGTAGAGAAAATTTCCCACCCCACAGCCTGTCAAGAAAGGCATGTGTTACTGGACTTCCAAAGCATACATTTCCATGCTCGATTTCTTGCTTACCCAGTTCTGGCGTTCGGTGAGACACGAGGAGACGCAAATGAGCTGAAGCCATCGGCGAGCGTTTATTAAATATCAAAACACACCTAGCAATTTCTGGATGAGAGAAATCAGAATGTTTTAACAGGTGTTTGGGTCCAAAAGGGTGCTTAATCCTCACCTTTGAAGATTTCTCGCCGCCGGAGGGTCGCAATTCTGGAAATTCTCTATCTGTCCAATGCCGATCTTTGAAGAAGTTTGTTGTATTTCTCTGTTCATAGCGCATTGATAGCCCACTCCAGGATTCAAACGTTACTGCGTGTATTCAAACCTTATAAAATCTAGATAGAATGAGCGGACAGAATGTTTAAAGTTATCTATAACAAACAGCTACTTACAGATCCCAATTACGAGCGGTCTCATTCATCAATTTCTGATATTGAAACTCAGGTACTTTTTTAGTGTCCTTGGAGAGAATTTCTTTGGCTCTTGCTTCCCGGTTCGCCGTAGTGCCCCTTGGAACTGCTGGGGATTGCCCGTTTGGATCCATGCTGTGATTGACGTTCGATTGATAAAAAAGTGTCCAGTGTGTCAAGGTGGCTGTTGACGGTGCTTTCTTGAGGCGCTGTTATGGCAATATTGACAAGGATCTGTAAATGTCAGAAAAACCAAACGAATTTCGTCGGAAGCTTGCTCGTTCTCCGCCAAATGGCACAGCAAGGCACGTGACCCACTGAGATCCAAGTGTGGGGCAACTGATGAGTTCCCGTCCCACTGCCAGCCCTTTGCCCTTCTAGGTCTTCATTTTGTTTGTGATCTTAATTGTTGGTAAGTATTGAAACGTCTGCAAGGTAACCATAATCTCTAACAAAGTCCCCGTCACTGCCTTTGCTTTAATCTGGTTTACTACAATTGGCAAGCATTGATCACAACGTATCTCTCCAAGTATTCCGCTACATGTCCAATCTGGGCATTTGCGCTATCAAAGGGCGTCACACTCCAACTACCCAAGACTACCTCTTCACAAAGGTTATTTTGTCAGTACACTATACTGTACGCCGTAATAATCATATCGGGGTGGATAAACATGACGCAAACATGGCCTCCCCCCCACTTAACCCTTGACACACACGTAATGACGCGCATCGCGTAATGAACAAGTGTTCAAAAAGTGAACGGATGTTTGCCCCCCCTTTTAACCAAAAGGTAACGTGAACACTCACAAACACAAGAGAGTCATAGCCATTTCAAAGAAAAACAAAACTGAATAAAAACCTACCGACACCCCCAACCTTTCTTTTTCTTATTCATGTCTGACGTCTCGACCGATTCGCACTTTCTTTCTGCAAACGCAACAGATACTGATTCCACTGCAACCAGTGCGCTTCCACCAACAATTCAGGATATTTTTCCAGGAGCCAATCCTAATTCTGCTACAAAGGAGGACTTGAGAACAATGGATTCTAATGTTGATACAACCGTTTCAACGCCTATGGCTGTCCACCATGATGTAGGAGGTGGAAAAGCAAGAGTTACTGAAGGTGGTGGTGAGTTGGCGTTTGTGTAATTGTTATGGGGAGCAGCGTTATTGACTCGTGTGTGTTGTGCAAAGTCACGACGGATAAGTCTGTCTATGTGAAGTCCTACAGTAAGCTCTTGTTTGTCTGTATTAATGTATTGAATACTTGAATGGCTAATGTATGATTGTCTAGTTCGCTCACTGCTTCTCTGGGAGCGCCCTCTCTACTCCCTGGCTGCTGTTTCAACGTTACTTTCCCTCAACTACGCCTTGACTCACTACTCTCCGATTCGCATTCTATCCTTCCTGCTGGCTTCAGCGACTTTTGCCAACATGGTTTTTGTCAACTTGTGGGTGTATAGTGGGAGTTTGTTTGTGAATGTGCAGCAACATGGTGGTGTCAAAAAGCCTCCTACCATGTAAGTTTAATGAATTTAGTGTGTCAAACCCAAAATATGGATACTAATGTCCTTGCAGGTGGTTTTTGGACCATGCAAATCGCCAGCCAGTCAATCGTAATCTTGTTCGAGACTGGGTTGATTTCGTTGTGGACACGATCAACTTGGCCTTCTCCTACGTGGCTAGCATTATTGCTGTAGATGATAATGTCCGATCTGCAAAGGTTTGTTAGTTTGGATTTTGGCAACAGTCGTAGAGTCTCATGTTCTTTCTTCGTGTACAGGCTCTTCTCTTCACTGGATTCGTCTACCTGCTCTCTGGATATATTTCTTCCAGCACACTTTTTTATACTGGTACGTCTGCACACCAGTTAACTACATATGGTCACCTACAGATTTGCTAACCATGCTCTCAGCGGTGATCCTCACTTTCGCGACCCCACGCCTATACCTCGCGAATAGGGCACAGATTGACACCTACCTTCACACGGCATCAGATGCCTTTGCGAAGCATACTCACAAGATAACAGACAGCCTGTCAATCTATTTGAACACGGCGGCAGCGAGAGCGAGGATGAAGGTTGAAGAAGCAAAGGGCAAGGTCAAGAAGCACGAGTGAAGACGGAATACTACATTGGGTGGTCCATTGATGAATAGTGGCGTTTATGGGTCAAGGTCTCAGGAGTTTAAGTTCTTGTGATATTGTAGTTTCGACATGGTGCATGTATCTTGGTTTTCTGTTGTTTTGTAAAAAGACATCTATTTGGATTGCTTCAGTGGGCAAGATATTGCTGACATAATCACGATTGCTGTTCCTCGGACGTGTCGGCGTCGTTGAGTGCAGGGTAGACCAACCGCAAGTATGGGTTTGAAAACGATCATCGAAAATGCACGAGCAAGCAATGCTACTGCATTAGACCTCAATGAGCAAGGGTTGAAGCATCTTCCCGCGGAATTGTGTGAGCTCGTATCCTTTTGCTGCTGCCCTTGATTATATTCTGATGGATTTCAATTCGAAAGTGGAGGTTGAATCTCTGACCCGACTCAACTTGGCTCATAACCGGCTGACTGGTAAGCTTGAAACTGGTGCTTCAATCCTCTAGCTGCACCCGGTTTACCTGGACTGATCTGAGACAATCACGGATTGTCAGATGTATCGGAAAACATTGTCCGTCTCAAAAACCTCGAGATGCTCACTGTGTTTGGGAATAAGCTGGGTGAACTGCCCAAAACAATTAACGGTATAAGAACGCTAAAGTTTTTGACGGCAAGGTAAAATGGGGTAAATACTGTGTGTTGTTGGCCTTGCGTTAGTTCCAGATGCAGTGCAGGGTACTCAATCGATCTTGTTTTCTGTGTTATGCGTCTGCCAGTCACAACTTTATCTATGAACTTCCGCAGGGTTTTGGAAGTTGTCCCAGTCTGGTGTTTTTGGATATGAGTTGTAACCAGCTCAAAGAACTATCGCCAAATTTTGGGTTCTTGAGTACGTTGCTTTCTCCTTTGGCTCCTACATTTCCATTCTGGCTGATATTGTCTTGGCTCTAGCAACGCTTCGATCCCTCCATCTGTCTGACAACCATCTTGAGACATTACCCGCAGAAATTGGCAAATTGACACAACTCGCAACTGTATGTATTATCGGTTCAAAGTTTTATTACTCACAGCGCTGACTTGGGTGCCCAGCTTGTTCTCTGTAACAACGACCTGACCTCCCTTCCCGACGAGATTGGTAACCTCCAGTCTCTAAAATACTGTCTCCTCCAAGGCAACAAGCTCAAGTCACTTCCAAAGAGCTTTGCCACCATACCGCTGGAAAGCGAAGGATCGGTGTTAAAGCTGTACAAAAATCCTTGGTACCCGTTTCTGGCTGATATATTGGAAGACAACAATGTACAGGCGTTCCTTGATGTGATGAGATCTGATTCGTACCAGGATAAAGTCAAAGAGGCTGAAGCCAAGTGAGTACTTCTTCCAGCATATCAGTGGAAGACTCGAGGGTGGTGCTCGGCAAGCCGTTGAACCGCTCTGATCCCGTCTTATGTTGCAGGAAATCAAAGAAATAACTACCGTAGACCTATGGAGTTGTGTATGTAGGATGAGCAATCCCAAGCTTTTGACATTCTATCCATGGATCTCTGCTAAGGGCAGCATAAAACCCACTCTTATTTCTGGGAGATGGACTTGGAAATGCTTAATATTTATCAACCCAATCTGCACTGCTACTCTGAACCCTCATTACTATAGCAACAAAGATGACACACCATTTCCATCCCCACTCCGATCTGTTCCTTTATAGGACATGAACAGACACATGTGGGCATAAGGTCTCTGATGGGTGTGACCGGTCTTGCGTCTTATGTGCAACAACTGCAGCCTTCTCCCGGTGAACATTTGGAATGGCAACTAGGACCTGCAAGTGTGGACAAGGAAGACGCTTCACAGGTCGTTTTTGTTGACGGACATGCCTACGGTGAGCTCTTGTGTGTAGGACGATATTTGCGAATGAGGAATTCACCAATCGTTGTTATATATCAGCGCATCATGTTGCCAAGGAGATCAGCTGGGCGCAAGGAGGTTGGCTGATTCACTGTTTGCATGTCAATTTGATTTCGTAGTCCTAAACACTTGGGTACGCAGCTCGTCCCCATTTGTTAGCCAAAGTCCTTGGCAAGCAAGTTGAAATCTTCAAGCGAGCTGGCTTTCGGTTGACCTTTGTCTTCGATGGAGTCCTCCCTGTGCATAAGATTGATGAACGTATCGGTCGAGATGCCGAAAAGATATCACGAATCAGCACAGTCATGGCCGAGGTAGTCAAACGACGAGCGTTGGGTGCCATATCCGCTACCTCTTCACCGGTAGCTGCTACCCTCTTACCACCTCTTGCCATTCCGGCATTAATGAATCAACTCCGCGAAATGGATATCCCCATCATCGTTCCGCAAAGGGAAGCGGATGTAGCCCTTGCTCAGATGGCTCGCACTCAGTCAGCTCCAGTTATCAGCCTCGATAGCGACTTTTTTGTTCATCTGCTTGAAGATCCCGACCGTTGTTCGCAAGAGGAAGTTTCCTCGTCCAGTCGGCCCCTCCTTGGCTACATTCCTTTGAACACCCTGCGTGTCAACGAAGACGTCCTGCATGCTCAGCTTTTTCGCCGCCCAAGAGTTGCAGAATCACTTGGAGTTTGCCCGAGTTTGCTGCCGGCGTTGGCTGCCTTGGTCGGCTGTGATTACACCTCTCGTCGCGATCGTGCCAGTGCTATGCAAGAGATCCTTGGCGCGAAGAAGGGACATGCACGGATAAAGCATGTGGTGAAACTGTTGAGCGGACTGAATGATCTAGCCGACCCATTGGCTGCCATTGATATGTTGATGTCCAGACATGTCCCTGCCGGGTCGGCGATAGAGGTCGGCGCGGAATTGAAGTTCGCGGTGGCGCAATATATTGGGTTGAATGAGAAAACACTCCCGATTCCGCCAGCAGCGTCAGCTACCATTACCATGCTGTATCGCACAGGAGGGTTTAATCATAAACTAGTGGAGGTAGCCACCCAGCGCATATTCTGGTGCTCGCCTTTTTTGGAAGACATTGGGCGGGGTGAGGTGTTTTCCACAGCCATTTTCTGCCGCATTGTTCGCACTGACACGTCCTTCTATTACAACTTGTAGCCGCTGCATGGGAAGTAGCACGCCCTCTACGGAGATGGGCCTATGCGTTGATCAGTTGGTCTACGGAGCAAAGCAGAGAAAATCAACCGGATAGCAAGTCGCTTTGGGAAGGCTTACCAGTCGACGAGCAGTTATGGGTAGATTACGTGAGAGGTAACCTCTTGGTCAAGGAATACCTTCGACGTGGAGAACGACTGGTTGCAGAGAACGTAAAACCTGTTGCGTGGGATGAGTTGAAAACTCTGTCAATCAGCGTAACCGGCAGCGACTCGAAACACACTCTATTGAGCCTGTCTGATTCGGCACGGGAAGCGATGCATTTACGTATCCTCAAATCCGACACCGACAAGATACGATCTTTGCCTGTAGGAATTCGTCCCCTTGCTATCAGCGTGCGTAGCATGATCTCAGAATTATCCGCTCGAGGGCAACCCCTAGCCAATTACGAACTGGTTGCACTGGTCAGCGCAGGGCTCGTGTCATATTCCCGGGCTCAGAGCGAATCGAATTTGCCAATGCCCACCACCAACATGGCTACCGGAGCCGCATCAACCCCTCTCACATTACACCGGTTGGCTCAAATGGAAGTCTTTCTTTTTTCCTCTCTGATTCTCGCACAATCCTTATTACATCCACTGATTCACCACAACGATTTTTTAACTGGACATTGGACCTGTTTGGACGGCCAGGAGTTTCATCGATGCATAGAGTTGGCGAAGGGTGGTGCGGAGCATGTGCGATTACTTTGTGGTGATGGCCATGAGCAGGCCGATGAGCAGAGACTTGGGCTCTATAGGCAAGTTTTTGAGGCCGTCGTGGAGGGATTAGAGGACTGTGTGGAAAGAGTTATGAGCTATGGCGGCGTGAGTGGCAAGAAGAAAAAGAAGAGAATAAAGACCAAAGGGAATGAGAAGACTGTTGGCCAAGGAGGCCTGAGAGCTAGTAGTAATTTATTTGATGTATTATCTTCCGGGTGTAGTTTTTAGTTACGGAGCGGTGGATATGATTACGACTCGTCCGCTACTGGACTTTTTGATTTAGCGTTAGTTTTGTGTACATATGTTTTTTGAGGCTTGGTGCTGATTTGGGCTGCCACATATTTCATATATATTTACGTGTACTATTTGAAGGATAGTTTTTGTGCCATTGCATTGTTTAATTGAGTGAGTTACTACAGCGCTTGGCCAGGATGTCATGAATGAACGGATCAACGTTCACATCTGATTGTGCACTGATTACAGAATTGGTTCACACCCAACCCACTCTACCCGGGCACCTTTCCATCTTGTTCTCACACACCTCTCAAGCGGCGGTATCAACTCGGTGTCATGTTCGCTATCCACAATGCCTTCACCACAAATCACCCGAATACGAATCTCACCATCCTGATTCGCCAATCCATCATAGTAAATCAATTCCAACGTCTTTTGATATTCATCCAAGGCAGTCGGTGAGAAAAGGGTCGTGTAATGAGATTCAGAGTGGATGGTCCAAATGGGATATTTTGGAAATTTATAAAAAGAGCCTACGCGGATGGTCCCGTACGATTCAAACAGGGATAAGAATCCTGTCGGTGGGGTGTTTTGTACACCTTTCATGACATATCCATCTGTTTGTTGGGTACCGTTGAAGACGTTCGATACAGCTTGACCGGTTAAGATGAGGTTGACAAGGTCTTGTGTGCAGTAACCATGCGTAGCGATGAGGGGTGTGGAGGGGTCGTCCATTTCGGTTTGAAGGAGGGTGGGTGTGTGAGTTAGGAGGAGGGAGTAGAGGAGGGGGAGGAGGTGGTGTGGTCGGTGGTGAATGAGAAAGATGGTAAGATTGGGCAGGGTTGTAAGGGTGTGGAGGGTGAGGTTGAGAGGTGTAGGAGTTGGTGTTGGGGTTTGGAGGCTGGTAAGAGATTGGATTAGTTTTGCCTCATTTGAATAATAATGTCGAAATGTCAATGACTCGAGAATATTTACTCACATCCCAACCACGACTCTTCCAAACCTCTCACCACCTGCCCTCCACAGCACCTCTGCGACGCCCCTCCAAAGTGCTTCCTCGGCTTCCTTCCTCGAGACCCGGCACACATCTCTGCCTCTCTCCACTAAAACTTTTATTAAGCTAGCTTGAATTCCCGCCAGCACGCCGCATGGGCCGCCCTTAGTCTGGACTAGTCCATAGGGCAAGGATGGGTTCGTGTTGAGGGTTAATGTAGCTGTTAACCACGCTGGTGGGGGTTTCTGACGATCCCAAAGCAAGTTGTGGAGGGTTTGGGACTCTGCGTGTGTGAGAGGGGTCGGGTTGGTTGGAAGGGGAGGAGGGTTGGACAAAGGGTTGAAATCGAGCTCTGTATCAGAGTGGGTTGGTGAAATGGAGGTTATTTCAATGTCGTTGGCGTTGTGGCGTTGTGGTTTTGATCCCGGGCGACGATCCGAATTGATCGGCTTTGAACTATGCATGTCGACATTCGTCGAGTCTTTTTGTCTTGATTGCGTACTGGATGCGAATTCTTGGTGGGTCAAGGACTTGCGGGCAAAGTGTTGGGTACTATTTAATGTTTGCTTTGGGGATGGATCATATCTCATTGGCGATCTCGGTGAAGGAGGACTGGCAATTTCAATTCGAGTGCTCATCGGCTTTCGGCTTGCAACTTGCTTCACTCTAGAAGTTGGCGCCGACAGAGATTCAGACGAGATTCGTGATCGTTCCGCAATGTGACCGCTTTTCATGGTATCTGGTTGGCTATCAGAGGTTGCCCTCCCTGCCACACCGTTCGCCCTAGCGAGCTCAACTAACGTCTCCAACAAAAATTCCTCCTTTGGTCTTGATCCCAATGCCCTTTCGACCTCCCTTCGCTTTAAAATCCCAAGCTCGTTCGCAGCAACGCCCTGTTGTTCCGATAGCTCGTGCAACAGGACTTTGACAGTCTTTTTGAGACGTAGATCAGAGAGGTAAGTACGGACTAGCGAGATGGAAAGAATCCTTGTGGTAGAATCTCGGATGCTAGGTGCTGGCGGCTGTGGGGTTGTGATCGGGATGAGTGTCATTGGATGGACGTGACAAGGAGAAGCTGATAGCGAATCCAACGACGACGAATCCACAGGTCGGCGTGATTACGTTATACGCGTTCGTCAACACTTGGTTCTTGGGTAGGGCTTTAATCCCCTGGCACGCAATCCGGTGCTGGTCTCAGCCTGAAGACAGGCTTGCCGGATTCCTTTTGATCCTTGCAGGAACTTGCAAAGTGGGATCTCATATGTGTCAGTGCATGGGGTGTAAAATTGTGGCAAGAAAAGAAGGCAGCCCTTCATCAATACGAGGCATAACAAGGCATCATATTCAAAAGTCCAAAATTCAAGAGTTGACGGGATTTTCGTGGATGCTCTTATCGTACATGATTACCACTATGAACCATTGCTGTTCATCATGAGCAGTAAAATGCTGCTTTTCTTCATATCCGTTACAAATCAAAAAACGACAAACTAACAAATGGCATGCATTTCATTCTGCTCGCCTTACCACCGCAACGGCAACGTGCAAATCCCGTGATAAGACAATTAATGGCTTACGCGATGAAGGGATAAGGTAAAATGAAGATATGGAATGAGGTTTTCTTTTTTTTGCGTAGTTTGGGTGGATTGGTGGCAAATCCGAGTTATTTTAAAGTTTGGGGAGGAGGTATAAAAGATACTTTGACTTGTTTTCCTTTGCTTTTTGTTGTGTGTTCCGAAGTGGAATAAGCATTCACTGCAAACTGTCGAGAGAAACGAAATAATGCACTTCTGGACAAGCTTGCTCGTTTGGATGGCACTTGGAGTTGGATTTGTGAGTGTGGTGGATGGGTATGGCCGAGTAGGTACGTCTAAAGCTTGATATTCGAATGGACTGCTGCTGGAGCTTTTCGCATGTTTTTTTTATTGCATTATCTAATCGCATGAAATGAACAGGTCATTGGATGACAGGATGGTTAGCCCAGCAATGTTTGACATCAGAAGCGATAGAATACGTTCGATACCTCCTTCCGCATCATAACGGCAACCTAGCCAAGGCAGCATTGTGGGCTGACGGTACCTCTCTTTTGACTACGCACCACGTTTGATCTGTGCTATCTTCTTATTACGCTTGATATAGAAATTAAGCATGGTCATACGTACGACTGGGCAGACCGTCTACACTACATCAACCCTCCGGTGCCGTGCACCCCCATCCCCGCCAATTCATGCACCCAGTGCGTTGTGGGCGGAATATACAATTATACGAGTCGCCTACTCTCACCAGAGTACACGAGGGAAGAGAAAGAAGAGGCGCTAAAGTTTTTGATACACTTTATTGGGGATGTGCATCAGCCTTTACATGCGTCCGGGAGGAATGCGGGTGGAACGGAGGTGAAGGTTGTGTTTGATGGGCGGGTGACGAGTTTGCATGAGGTTTGGGATTACATGCTTTTTGAGGTTTGTTCGTGACGTTCCTTTTAGCAGGGTTCCCTATATTGACCCTTTATGTATCCTCCACAGAAACGCATTAGAAAGGACTTTTCAAGCAGTGTCAACACCTACGCAACCCACTTGCTCACTGAACTGGCCACAACCTGGTCACCTTCTCTTCCCTCCTGGGCCAGATGTTCGCTCCCGAAAACTCTTCTCCTCCACTCATCCATTCCTTCCTCCATTCCCGTCTGTCCCGAAGACTGGGCCACGCATTCCGCACTCACAGCCTGCGAAGTCGTCTGGCCGCCTTACGACCAACACAAGGATAATTCGAAATGGGATTTAGGCCGCGAGTACTATGACAATGTGATTGATGAGGCAGAGTTGGGGGTTTTACAGGCTGGCGTGCGCATAGCGTGGATTATCAATGCGATTGTCAGAGAAGTTGGTGAGGACCAAGCAGGCGTTGGGAGAGAAGTGACTGCTGAAGAGGTCGTGTCGTGGTGGTCCGGTGCGTGGTCGTGGGTGCGTAGTTTGGTGGATCAATCGGATGAAACAGACGTAGAGGTTACGAAGATTTACTCTGCAAAGTGGCGTTAGTTGGGTTGGCTGTATATGTTGATGAGAGGGGAGCTTGTAAGTATGTTGAGGCTGTTAGTTAGAGAGAAGGGATATATACCTCGGTTATAGACGCTAAGCCGGTGGGGGCATTCTGTGACACGTTTCCGTATCCAGAGATACATAAAAAAGAAAAGCTACTTTCCTGCAAAGTTTGCTTCGTTATTTATGGCTATAGCGAATGGATGCAGAAATGTTGTATTTTTGTCTTCGGTCACGTCAACAGTACTATGTAGCATATCTCTGCCATATCTCTTGATCCATAAAACAGCCCATGTTGGTCCAAACCTTCATTCAGAGTAACTAACCAAAATTATACAAACCCTACAAAAATAATAGGTGGGCTACGCAGCCGCAACGCCTTTGATATCCTCGCTCTCCAAAACCTCCAAACTTTTCTCAATAAACGTTTCCTCTCCAAAAAGGGGTCGGCCAGCGTAGGAATTCAAAACTCTGCACAGTTCTCGGTTCAATTCGTCCATGCTATGCCAATGGTGCTTCCCCACACCTTCGACGCGTTTGGCAGAGCTCAGGCGGGCTTGCTCAAATTCAATTGCAATGTGTTGGCGGGCGTGAAAGATTTTGAGCGCAGCGGGAAGGTGGGTTCTGAGATCCTCGGCTCGGTGGGTATGAGAGGGGTGGTCACTAAGAAATTCGAATGTTGGCGTAGATGGGTCATGGGTGGAGAGCTGATTCCAGAAGGAGACGGCTGCACGTGGATTGTATCCGGCAATAGACATTAAGTACAGGCCAATGGCATCGGCTTCTTTTTCGCACTGTTGCAAGGAAAGCAAACTGCGTCAACCCCAGATATGCCCGTCAAAAAGCTTTGAGATTAACCTACCATGCGCGAATACGGCAAAGAACTCAAGATATCCTTAGTTGCATCAACACCTCGTCCCGCCAAATCCCCCAGCATGGGTAAATTCAATGTAAAAGTATACAACAGCGAGTGTACAAAATCCCAGCCCAGCCTCGCCAAATACTGAAATCCCATCTTCTCCGCTCCATGTCTAGATAACACATGAGCCAGCTCATGAGCCAAAATTGCTGCAACGGCATCCGGATCGTCGGCCATTCGCAGGAGACCTGTAAAAACGAAAATCTTGCCGGTGGGTGTAACAAAGGCATTAACAACATCGTCGTCTTTGACGACGTGTAATTGCCAGTCGCGTATAGGACCGACGATATCGAGGAGAGAGGTGGCAATTTCGTTGATAGATGTGTAATCAGCATGCGACGCGGGTAGGAAGAGCTTTTGGTATCGGGAAAGGAGTTGGGGATAGCTGGACTCGGCCATTTGGAGTTCGGTAGGCTCATCAATAAACATTAGGCGTGATCGCTAAAGAAATAATATGCCGGTTAACTCGTTGATAGACACCGCAAATAAAACTTGAATCAATGGATGCCAACCTGCGTAAACGGATGCTCTTCGTAAGCCAAACCAACCAACGCAACAACGCCAACCACAGGTAAAGCCGCCATTGTCCACATGGTACGTGGATAACTGCAACAAAGAAACGAGTGTTAGTCCCTCCGTTACAAATCCACGGCTTTCGGTATTCTCTACCTCTTGAACCATTGCCATCTCCAGAGAATTGGCAAGGCGGTCACAACAGTCCTCGCAAGTTTAAAGAACCCCGTTACAATCGCCCCCGTCAACAGAGTCTTGGAAGCTATCGGTGTGGCATGAAAGCGCCTCTTTGACGTTCCAACAAAACGTTTCTGTGCAATATGTAGCTTTGGGCTCCATTCACATTTTGGTAGGTGTATTGTTGAAGCAAATCCATGTCGCTCTCTAGCGTGAATGCAGTGATAGGCTACAGAACTCTGACGTAAATGTGTTGATGCACGTAGGGGAAAGCTTTGGGTAAGGGCTAAAGGTGACCATTTGAAAAAGTGGGGAAGAAACCGAGCGTGGCTTGTGCGGAGTTGCTTGTCTGCTTCTGTGGACGTCGAGACATATGTGGCGAGTCTGAGGAGATAGCGGGATGTTCGAAGAGCAGGGTCTTGAGCTAAAGCTAGCCGCAGCAAATGCGGTGGGCACATTGTTTGGCCGCTTTCAGCAGTGGAATGGCATTGGCAGCAAAGAAAGCGAAACGGCGAGGCAGTGCAAAGTGAGAATCAACGAGTGAGACAAGAATGCATTCGAATGGTAAAGATAGAGTAATCTTTATGTAATCAGTCAGGTGACAGTCCATCCTGCAGTTCATTTGCAGTTGAAAGGGACTCGCCAAGGGTCAAGGAAAGACCAGTGGCATTTCAGGTACAAAAAAAAGGCCCTACGAGCACACATAGAGATCTTGGAGGGCCCCACGTCAAAAAACGAAAAAAAGATCTCTTGGATCGCTAAATATCTTTCCATATAGATCCCACCACCTTCGTGCACATTCAAGTTGTCGAAGCCAAGCCCAAAACCGATTTCAGCAAAAAGGGAATGATCTGCAACCGTTTCTGCCAACGGTGAGACCACGTTCTAATCTACTTTGCATTTGCATTATCTCAGCATAGCAAGAGGTGTGATTGTGGCCATGAAACCACGCAATGGGCTTGGCGGCGCGCAGAGCTTGTTTCACGCACAGGATATGGTCAAGTTTGGAACTTATCTTGGAATGTGGTTTGTGTAGGTTCTTCCATCACGGAATGCACATTGCCTCACAGCGTTGTAGTTGCTGTGGTAAAATGATATTGTGGCGCTGCACATAGTAGGAAAAATACTAATACGATGCAAGTGCGTCTTGATGATGAACACCTCCACTTTAATGTCGTTCATCCCACCCATCGGAAATAATTCTAGCACAGCCCAAATCCTTGCAACTCACACGACCTTCTAACGTCACTTGAGGCACCCGTGGGTCGTTTTCCTCATCATCGTACGTTTGTATGGTGGAGAACAGTTAGTGTCTGTAAAAAAAAAAGGTGTTAAAAGAGTGAAATCAGAATGATCTCACATTCCAATCAGTAACAAACCGAATCAACCAGCATCACGTAATGACTCCAAACAGCGCGTTTTATTTTGTTTTGAAATGGTTGCTCATCGATTGAAAGAAGTGTTCAAAAGGACACTTGGGAACTGGGGGGGTTTGGGTGTCATTGGGGCGAGGGTTCCGTTCATAGACTCTTTTTTTTCTTTATTGGTGGAGGTGGATGCGCGTCAACAGCTGAGCTCATAAGCAAGCATCCTCTTGTCATTTTCTTGCTCCTGAGCTTTCTTGTTAGATTCTCGCCTTAGATTTATTATTTTTATTCCGTCTCTTGTTTCGCTGAGTTTACGGATCTAGCTTAAAATAAGGGGAATATCCCGTCTACCCTCAGCGTTGAGATTGAGTTGAACTTATTTGGAAAAACCAGTCATGCCACTGCTCGAAAAACAATCGAGACCACCGACCTTTTTACGCTCCGTTCCCCTCCTGTTTGCTCTCGTCGCACTTGGAGCTTTTGCCTTGAGCTTGACCATAACCTTCACCAAACAAAAATGGTTCGAGCAATACGCCGACGTTGGTGTGCAGGGAATGGGTGTCGTGCAATCACTTTCTCTCCGGATCGGATTGTTTGGGTGGTGTGTGAAAGGACTGCCTTCAACTGTGGATGTGCCGCAGGTTCAAGGTGGCGGGGCGGACGAGTGTAGGCCGGTGGACGTTTGCGGGGTTGTCGGTGAAGTTTGCAAAATTGTGGATGCTGTGCGGGCTTTTATGATTGCGAGTGATGTCGTGGTTGGATTAGCCTTTGGTAAGTTGTTTCGTTTTAGATCTATGACATGGCGCCTTGTATTTTGTTTCCTTTTGCTAACATTCTCACTTTTGTGATTAGTTGCATGTATATTATTGAGAAGATATCGTGGCATGACGGTGTACATTGTGACACTCATCTTGAGTCTCATTGCTCGTAAGTTTCTCATTCAAGCGTTGATCTGGACCATGTTACCAGTAAACTCACGTTCTCTGCTCTTCAACAGTTCTCCTCCAAGTGGCCGTCCTTGTGTTCTTCCGCATCTTACCCTCTCAACTGCGTCCACGCGTTCCCGACCTTGTGAAATCTCTCGCAGGCAACGCTGCACGATACCTGTACTCGGACACAGGACCCTCCGTCTACTTGTATCCTTACCGCGTCATGATGGCGTCTGTCGGACTCATAGGTTTTGTGTTCTTTGGCACATTAATCTTGTCCTGCGTTGAAAAGTGTGGGCGACGGTATGGGAAGAACAAGCGACAAACATGGGGCTTCAGGAGCGTTCGAATTGACCGTGATTCAGGCATTGGAATGTCTGAGGTGGAGCACGACGAGCTTAAAGTTTAAAGCCGTGGGATGTGGGTCTGGCGTAAATATGTAAAGCAAAAGGTCGGTCTGTACAAAGCATGAGAGTCAAAAGCAAATGTGTAAAAAAGAGGAGCACGATGCAATATTTTATCCTGTACATATACAAAAATATATATCTCGCTACCATAAACCTGTCCAGGTCATTCTTTTCCACTTCTTGTGGAATTTCTACTCCAATCTGTCGCCTTCTTTGCTAATATGTGTTCAAATGTCCATTCTTTACCAAATAGGTACGAATCGTTCATTTCAAGCACCTGCTCGCCCAAAAAACTTACCGTCCCAGCGGTAACTGCTGCTACAAATCCCTTATCCAATCTCGACCGATGGAGCGTCAAAAACGATTACGCTGAGGAGGACCACAGTGGCTACGGAATAGACGCATGTCGACGCTCTCGCCGCTCGTCTTGACAATACACTGTACTGTGGTCACACCTTTGCACCATAATGCACTGCCAAGGACAAATCAACGTTCACTCGGAAACATGACGCTACTGGTAATTGCGTACGTGTTATAAGTAGAGCAGATCGCATAGACAGCGTTTAGAAGTGCCCTTGTGTGATGTGCAACGTCAAAGGTGTTACATTGCGGTGTGAAATCAGTTGAATAATGTAATTGCAGAATTGGCCCAAGACGGAAAGGAAGATGATGAATTCTACAGTAAAGGTTATACCATAGGTTGCCTCTCGAATGAGTTCTTGAGAGGCACGGTCATAGATATCAGAGTTTGCTGATGGAGAAACTGCCGCTTGCTGGACAGTCCACGACATGCTCTGTTGGATTTGGATTGGACTGAACTCGGACAATTGCTTCTTTCCTGCTTCGATCGACTCCAGACTCAGACTGTCCGCGCTTCCAGACACTTTTTAACGTGAAGCACGATCTACAATACTATTACTCTTTCCCAGACAACTGTCCGTTTGCTTCCTGTCCTTCTGCAACTCTCTCGATCTAAAGCCGCAGCAAAACGTAGACGAGATATTGTACAATAAAGATACCGTAAATGAGAACATAGTGGTATAGAGGTAGAGGTGAGATCATTACTTATAGGTGCACGGTATGCAAGCGTTGTCACAGTAGAACCCTGGCCCCAATAGAGCAGGTGGGCTTAACGAACTTCCCGCACATGCAGTGGCAGTAATTTCCCCCCGTCACCAATCCCGCACCCATAATTCCTCCCATCCCCTCATTTTCCCAATCAGCCAGCCGAGGCTACAACATCATCATATTTGGCTACTGTCAACAGGGGCTACAAAAGTTCCCTTTTGTGAGATTATCCGACGTTCTTGAATTCTGTCACCTGAGCCCGTGGGGCATATTGCTATTTACCATGGTATGCCCCAGTGTGCGCATTGAGGCCCATGGGACATGGATTTTGTTGCTTACAAGAACAACTGGCAGGAGACACTGCGCTTTTCTCCCTTCATTTGGATGGGTGCTGCGCGTGGAGAAGGTCACAAACTGTAGGACAGCACCCCCTCTAAGGTGGTCAACACATGGATTGCAAGTTTCCATACAAGTGCACTTGGAGCACACCCTTCCAACCAATGTACGATTGACACATGTGCATGGAGATTTAGCATACGCATTCACTTTTCCATTGTGGACATGACCTTAACTAGCGACAAAACTGTCGCTACAGGCATCATCTATATGCCTTGCGATTGGCATATAAACTGTCCATTGCATACGGCAAGTACTTGTCAGTTCGTGTGCAATGTCATGTCGTTCTGCTAGCTGTCGAAATGCTTTGCGGATGCTGACATGATCACTTCGGTTTTCCATGGTTAATATCTGATTGGTTACTGGTATTCCACGCTGAGAGCACAAGGATGTGTCATCACCACGGTAGTTGTAACTGTAAATGCTTCTATGCGTACAACCACGTGCATTAATTACGTTATCAGTCGCGTTCTGGTTTGCGCAGTAAATAACGCGGTGTCATTCCCCCCGTTCAAAGATAAAAAGGCCCCCCCCCACCACGTCCCCCCCGACATTTCCATCCTGCTTTTCTGCATTCCGCTCTCTTACCTTCCATGCAAAGCATCTACACTGTGCTCATGAGCGCCTGGACGTTCAAGATGGGTCAGGTGCATTTCGAATTGTGAGTTGGACAGGCGCAGCATTCTCGCCGGGCTACTCGGCCATCGCTGAACGATCTTCCGATTTGTCACTGGTTCTTAATTCCTCTGTTTTCTTGCACACTAGGATCTTCCTTCGGACCTCTCAAGACCGCCACTGGGAAACGTTTCGTTCACAAGTTTACATCTGCCCTCTCCCTGCAAACTAGCGTACCCTTCGGACTGCTTGCAACCATTCCTGTGACTTCCCTGCTTGCTGCGCTTCCGAACTGTTTCTAAACCATCTTGTTTCTTGCCTTGTGTAGAGACGACACATGGTTTCAAGTGAACTACGCAGTCCACAAGGTGACACCGCGATTCTTCTGGCTCGTCCTTTGTCGAGAGCCAAAGAATACCGATCCAAGATAGGGAAGCGTCCTTCTCCCTTCTCTGTACGTGAGGACCACACAAGGGGCGACGTCAAGGTCAAGGTCAACAGGTACTTCAGCGTCGGCGACAGAAAACAAGATAACTATGTCCGACAACAATCAAAGTGCCGCTGTCGACAACAAGTGACAAGAGTCTGCGGGCCAACGGCAAGATCGGCAAGAAACTTTTGAGGACTATTGAGAGTAACCTATCGTCGTCGTGTAGGTTAGTATGTCCAGGTCGACGTGGAGGATCGTTCAAGGAGATAGGTAATAGGTAAGTAACCTATCGTCGTCGCGTAGGTTGGTATTTCCAGGTCGACGTGGAGGATCGTGCAAGGAAATCGGTAAGTCACCAATCGTGGTCGCGTAGGTTGGAAGATGGACTTGGAGGATCGAGCAAGAAAATCGGTAAGTCTCCAATCGTTGTCGCGTGGGTTGGACTTTACAGGTTCATGTGGAAGTTCACACAAGGAAATTGGTAAGTCACCAATCGTCACCGCGTGGGTTGAAATTTCCAGGTCGACGTGGAGATCGCGTAAGGAAATCGGTAAGTGTTCAACCGTCTCGCGTGGTGGAAAGCTGACGTAGAGATCGCGCAAAGACATCGGTAAGTCTCTTAGGGTTGGAAGATGGACGTGGAAGATTGCGCAAGTAACACGGAGGAATATTCATGAGGAACACCGAAACCGTTGCTATGCGCGTGGGAATGTAAATGTGGTGTATCACGAGAGATTGCATGAATCAGTAAGTCACCAATTGATTGTGTGAGTTGGAAGGCAAACTGGAGTAGTGTGGACCTTCGCCCGATCAGTACGGTAAGTCAGATGTAACTCTTTGCCCTGCGAGTGGAAAGTGGGCATGGAGTATCGTCAAAGTCGCGCTATGGACTAGGTAAGTCAGCGATCGGCACTGGATGACTTGTAATATAAAAGCGCAGAATCGCTCGGGACAACTAGTAACTCTGAAGCGGGGATTTTGGAAATGTAAACATGGAGACTCAGACGTGCCGCATCATCAAACGGGAGCGCTTGGGGAATCGCTGAAGCAAGTTGGTAAGTCGATTCGCCCCTCTCATCTCTGGCATCTGGTTATGCACATTTGGGGCACACCCCGACACATCACCATGTGCATGAGCTACGTGATCCTCATCTCGTGCGGCCTACACCTTGCCGCGTGCGTGCCGTTGAGTACGAGTAGATACGCGTCAACATAGTCAGGTGTGCTGCGCATCCCATGTGCAGGTGACCGCTCGGTGATGCTGCGCAGGTTATTTTAAGGTCAGCGCATCACCGTATCACCTGTTGCAATGCATGGGCGCACGTGCGAGTTGGCGCGCGCTTGTCTGATGCACCTGCGCATGTTCCTTGTCATCTGCATGGACCACGTACTATCAAGCGCGAAAGGGGACACATTTTGGCATGCTTCGCATACCTATCCTACCCGCGTTAGATGTATGGGTAATACTGCGCATGGCATGCATCGCAAGTCATTGAGCGGGCGCGCGTCAACTCGCATGTATAACAAGCTCTCCAGTGTGTACGCTGGTTACTGGCATACGCATCTGCTCTGTCACCGGCTTTGGCAAAGCAAAGTACCAAACAAACCCTTGGTATAAAGGCCCATTAATATAATGAGTAAGCCTACCAGATTCCGATCCCATCTGTTCGTTATTGGCGTTTGGGAATGGCAATCCCAGGGACAACCCGTTGTTTGGTTTCATATTCTGATACTCTGGTGGTGCGAGGCTCTTGGAGCAGTACACGTTGAAAACTTGGTGTCTTTAGCTGTCGGACATGTCCGGACTAGTGGCACAGTGATGTTGCGAGTTCAAATGTAAGCACTCTGCCATTCGACTGCGACTACCGGTTCAGATGGTCTTATCTTTATACGTACGGTGCTTCAAGCCATTCTGACTTGGGGCATGTTGAGCGGCGATCAAGATATATGGTTTACATACCGTGGAACGCCTGTGAGTGCGTTTTGACAACAATGTGATTTCAAAGAGGTAGTAAAGGTCCAAGCATACGATGCAGAGAGAGCGCGCAACGTGCAGTACCAGAACATCTTGTTGCCGTTTCTTTGCTTCCTGTGTATCTTGAACTCGTGGACATCTCGGAATTCATATCGTTTCCAGCTTGCAACTGGTTTAAGGTCCGTCCTAGATTGAACTTGAGCCCAAGATGTAACATTCGTTGTGAATCTCCAAGATCCTTTGATGGGCAAAGTGATTGGGTGTCATATATCGACGCAATTTGAAAATATTTACGGGGCGCCTGGTCCGAATGGACAAGTACACCAGCGATCCTAGTATCGCGGCAGAAGTCTGCAATGCACCCTCACAGTACCATTTTGAAAACCTGTTCAATAGTGCATTCCTGGGGTGTATTGCAATCAGTCTGGCACTTTCGCGACTGTCTATTGGACGTACCTGTGCCGGAAATACATGCCTACCCACTTTGATAACCGTATGGAAAGGCAGCCTTTTGAACTGGTATTCGAGAGCGAAGAGCCATCCTGTGGTATTGGCTAACGTATGTTGCAGGCGCCCCATCAGGATCGTGGAGTTAGTGCAGTGCTGATACTCATGTGATTGACTTACTTGTGCTCTAGAATCTGCGTGGTGATGTTGATGGAAGCTGTTGATTGTGTAAATTTACTCGCGCGCGACAGGTGTACATACCGCGCATTCGTCTTTGGTCAAGACGCATGTGCTGAAGAAGGGTATTTCGTTGGCTGACCATACCTCTGACAGGAGAAAATTCTGCAGGCAAACTAGAAAGACCCGCCCAGATCTTAGATTGCGTTGAGATGGCACGCAAGGACCAAGACGTGTTAGCTTCGTTCGACCCAGCAAAAGTGTCTTCCGTGAAGGTTTGCGGTACCACTCATTGACCGTTTGGGTTGTGAACCAAAGTCGGGATTGAAGGGTGAAGCCGCACACGTACCTTGGTCTTCCCGTCAGACGTTTCAAGACTTGGTTCGTGTGATAAGGACTAAATCTAGTCAATAATGATTCACGGCGGCGGTGCTTTTCTCTGTCCGCTTGTATATGCCGTAGGTTCATCTTGCTGTCGCTTTTAAATATTCCGTATTGGAGATGCTTGTGATCTGAATTTCGGTCCCACGGTTTGCCGGCGCACGACACGAGCTTTTGTCGACGCTAGCGGGGTTCTTTTGTCTTGCTGATGACTTCTTTGGACGTTCTCAGTTTTGCGAGACCTCTTCCCCTGGCCAATAGCGTCCAGGGCATGTCGAGCCCTGTCGTGTCCTCTCGTATCCGCACTGCAAATCTCATGAGAGTGTATGCGAATGACTTGAATTACATAGACTTTGCTCCAGAAAGGCTACTCTGCGCTTTGTAGGGCTTTTGTAGTGAACAACGACACCGTGCCTACATGGCAAAAACCGAATAGGGTTCTGGCTACGTACGTGACGACGTGCAAATTTGTCTCTCGCTCTGCACGTCTATCGTCCTTGTCCTCCCATCGCTGTGGACATGCGCATGCGCTGCGCAGAAGGTCATGCCCACAAAAGGCCGACCGAAGCTTCTCGTGTCGGTACGACAAAGTGATGATTTATGTGTGGAGGCGTTGTTGATGCGAATGAATGGGAGCGGGGCATGCGGGGAAAAGGACTGTTTTTATAGACGTGGATTGCTGCGCAAAACGCCATATGGAAGGTTAGAACACGTTATGTCAGCTGGTTAGTGTCTCCCATGGTAGAGTTAATTTTAATCCACATGGCTCTCCTTCCCCTAAATTACTTTTGTAGCGAGAGTGATAGCATCAAGTAAAACATAATGCAAAGGAGGTTATCCTAGCGGAAATCCACAGTTAGAAATCCACCTTTCAGATTGCTTTTTGAATGTGAATGCAAAGTGTCTCATAGGCTGTTGATGTTGGTAATCAACTTCAATTGCATAGCTCGCATCAACTGCATTTTTTTCTTCCTTATTTTGCCCATGCATCATCTTCCAAGTGAATTGCTTGTAATATTTTTCTTGCGACGATCACATTGAGTTCAAGATAATGTTTGGGGTAATTACTTTGCTCATCTCAATCTAAGGTCATGGATTTACCAAAGGCATCGCCATGGTAAACCAGCTCGGGAGCAACATGGAGCGATTATAAAGTCACATAGTCGCCATGTGCATCAATCGAAGGGTTCTAGTTGTTCTAGTTGAAACACCGATACTAATCTCCTGGATTGTCTTGCTAGAAATTGGTAGTTCGTTTCTTAGCGGTGTCGTCAACAGCGTTCGTTCGTTGGATAACCTCATCGTCATCAGTGCATCCATCGCTGTATGTATTATACCGCCAAATACTTTCCTCACCAGGTGACCTAGATATCTTCATGACAGGTACATTCTTCCTATGTACTGCCCTTGAATTGAAAGATTGAAACTGCAGCCTCTTTCGTGCTCGATTTGCTATCAAGTCTGTTTGAGTTACAGCTCCTTTCGCATTCAACTTGTACTGACTAGGCTTGAAGATGCTTCTTTGGGTTCTTTTGCAACAGTCCAACACATGGAACATCACATAGTGATGAAGTATTGAGTGACGTAAAGGAATCTTAAAAGTGGTTTGTAAAGTGCAGGTTCGTTTTAACGATATGGAACGCTCTTCCAAGACCTAGTCGCGCATCACGTGATCTTCGACTCTCAACAGCAGAATGCTGCTGGTCAATTGTAGATCACCAGCAGATGCCGTCTTCCACACAAACGCAAGGCCGACGCAACGTATGCTCCGACTCCATGTTCTATTCAAGTATCTGCTCACATAACGCGATGTAATTGTGCGTGATCTAGGTCAACTGGTCCAAGTTACTCTATCGGATCGCACGCACCCACTCGTCTCTTTCTCGACCTGCATTGCTGGTCCTGTTGCACAGTTTGGTACGCATCAAGTACTTCGACATAATAGTGGTAGTTGTGTACTAAATGATTGCGGTAGACGTCTGGAAAGCGTCTTCAGACTCTTGACGTTCACTTTTTGTCACAAGTGCTTGAGGTGGATGCATGTGCCGTATCGTATTCGTCTGGATAATATCTAACTGGATGTAAGGTCAGGGATATTCTCCTCATTCCAAAGGATGTGCGAAAGCGTCTTGTATCTGCTCTTTGCATGATATGGGTGGATGGTGACAGGCGCTCACAGCGCGCCTGTATGCAGTTGTTGAGGGTGTTGTGTCAGATTAGTGAAATGAAGAGGATGGATGTTGATCTTGAGAGTAGTGTGCTTTTGGATGTATTGGTCGGGGGGTTGAGCAGTGGAGATGCTGTTGTTCGACGAGTAAGTGACTGTTGGTCGAAATTTTGGGAAGCTATGTTGGGTTCTGATCCGTGTAATAGAATGCGTTACATGGTTTGGCGCATTTGGTTATTGCTGGAATACGTCCTTCCTTGGATATTCAGACCGCATTGCACTGCTTACGGGATGATTCAAGCGATGTTCGATTAGGTGCTATGCATCTCGTGTGGTATGTATTGATGTGACGCTGGTTAAACGCCTGTACATTCTAATGATAATGATAGGGCGCTCCGAGCCTCGAGTCTGGATTTACAAGCCACTACCCGCAGAGGGTCAACAGACCAGGCACGCCTCACGCGCGAAGTATTCTTGAGTTTCTGTATGATGATTAATGATAACTGTCCGGTTGTTCGTTCCAAGGTATGGCAATTATCCATTATACTTTCCGTGATATATTGACAATCATTTTGTTAGACGTGTACGTATTTGGGAACGTCGGATAGGATCGATACATTACTGTTGTTGCAGACATTGAGCAAGGAGTTGATGGAGGTGTTTGACCAAGGTGGTTTTGGCCGACCGAGTTCCGGAAAGGTGCGTAGCTTGCGTTTTAGACACTCAAGATCTTTGAGCCTAACATCTGCGCTCTTTCATGTAGACATCAAGTAAATCGAATCAAAAAAAGTCGGCTGCAAAGGGACTTGCTGGGTCAACCCTTGCCATGGATGTAACCCTCTCTGGCGCATTTGTACTAGGAGTAGAGGATCAGTTTGCGGCAGTAAGAAATTCAGCAGTTGGTGGGTGCAGACGAGACTCCAGCGGAGGAGACTTGCTTGTTGATGGGCATAGATTCATTTCCCTGCTAAAATTGCCAATTGTCTAGACGCTGTGTCCGATTTGGTGTTGGTTTCGACACCGTTTGCGCAAAAGTCTCTAGAATTCCTTGTAGGTGAGTGGAAACATTACCAGGACGCTCGACAGCGTTATTGCTAATATAAGAAATGCGCGTAGATATCCTAAACGACGAGACAGAAAGCGTTCGCCTAAATGCGATCAACAGTCTACGCCGAATGGCTCATATTCAAGCGACCACCATGGATGATTCTCAAATTGAGAGCATGTCTTTGATATTGCGGGATGCAGACCAAACTATCCGACATGCTGCTCATCGATTGCTCGGGTATGTTGTCTGGTTGGTCCTCATGGATCTTCCGAGTTCTGATGAGTATTCACCAGGGCGGTGCGGGTGTCGAGTATTGAGACCCTACGACTTGTGCTGTCTTTGCTCGACCAGAATCTTGGTCGGTTTCCTGAAGATAAATTGTCATTATTCCAATGCGCCCAAGAGATCGGCCGGGGCTCTGCTGAAATGATAGGTATGCAGAATTGCAAAATTGGGCTACATAACTTGCTTGTGGTATTAATATAATGGGTTGATAGACTCGCTCATTGCACAGCTCTTGAATCTGGATCACCGATTCTTGCCAAAGGAGGTGCCACTGGAAGATGATACCTGTACGTTCCTTCTGGTGTATAATTATGATGCGTTTATGTGACATACGCTACGATATAGATATGGGCCACTTGATTGTAGTGTTTAGTGCGTATTCGACGGGTATGGCGAAACGCAAGTTGCCAAAGACAGTTCTTCAGCAGTTGCCGTATCTGCGGGCAAAGTTTCCGTTATTGGCTCCGCATCTTCAGGTACATGATGTGAGAGCGTGTTGGTTGTTGCAAGCGTACTGAATTATGTGGTAAGGTTCCACAAAGTGCTCCGCCTGAGGAGAAAATGAGAGAGGACAATACGTTGCAGAGTACGTTGCAGAGTCAGTTGGATAGTCGTGAGTAACTTTTCTTGGCATTGATAATGTCTATGTGTGCTGAGCACAGGTATCCTTGTTAGATGCACCACTATCGGATATAACCACCAAGCTACATACTGTGTTGGATACTGTCACACATTTTGAAGCAGAGGGGAAATCCCAGATTGCTCAGAGGCTTTTAACAAATTTCTTGAGGTAACATATAGTGGTATTGCATTCAACCAGTGGCAAGGTACCAATTTTTGGAACATTATAGAGATTTGGAATGCCTATGTAAATCCGAGACGATTGATTCCGGCGTCGTTCGTTTTGCGCGGGACTATGTGAACTGTTGTATCAGTGTCCTCAAGGTATGCTGTCCCTGAATTGCATCGTGGGAAAACACAAATGATAAAACTTGGGAGTACAGATCAAAGAATCGATTAGCATCCCACATCGGCGTGCAAGTATCATGGAACTTGCGTCTCGGCTGTTGGAACTGACGTATCGTATGCAGTGCATGTACGTGGGACTGTCGCGTGGATGTAAAGGTGTTTTGGAGATCTTGGGGGTTTTTGCGAGGATATGCTGGGTTGTCATGAGGATGACGGGATGGGAAGATGTGGAGTTTCGGTATGTGGTTTGTGTGGTTACGCCTGTGAGAGTGTTTCTTCCGTTTTGACGTATTTTGCGTAGGGTGGATGAGTTTGTGAAGGTTCTTAGGGAACAGATGGCGGGATTACACAGGTAAGGGGTCTGTCATCCGTTTTCAATTTTCGCTTTGCTGACATTTGGGATTTTCGCAAGGGTGATGAGTATGCAAGACCATGTGGCTTGCGATGGTTTATTCCAATCAATAAAGGGGCTCCAGAAAGTATCTAGCACACAACTTTTGCAGCACCTCCTTGGTATAATCCAGGTAAGTCTAGCAATCTCCTACACTGGCACCGGAATCTCATGATGATATGTTTTGCAGAAGTTTCCACTCTTTCGCATCACAGTTCCCGTCGCTCTACGTCGATGTCGGGCAAAGTTTGAATCCCCTGCTGAAATACCTATTGGACGGGGCGGATTGTGTCGGGTAGATGTGGAAGCGAGGATTTGGAATGCTGTTGATACGAGTTTGTGGGGGGTTGAGGTACGTCCATGGTGTTTTGGTGGATATGCTGCTAGATCTAATGGACAGCGTAGGTGATTTTACCGAGTGGTACGACACTGTTTAGACCGCTTGCGAGTGAGTATCGACCTTGTGGGCCGTACCGGTTTCGGTTGCGGACGAGCATTACAGTCCGGGTGCGGGATGCTAGTGGTATGTATTTTGAGTATTGTGGTTTTGATGGCGGTTTGGCTCATTTTTGTTGTGTGAGTAGAAGGTGGGTGATGAGTCTTGGATTGTGCGGTGCGTATCTAGTGGTGGACTCATATTGATGAAGATATGTTGCGAGGACGAGGGATGAGGGTTCGTGCGGCGCAGAAAGGGCTGTCGTTACCTGTGGGTTGGATGACTGATCTTGTGGGTAGTATGAAGGAGCTAGGATTGAACGGCGTTTCTGCCTTGATGTTTATGATTTGTCTTTTTTTTTGTTGAGATGGGACTTGAATTACTGTGATGTGTTCACATGGCGTGATAGTGGGGAGACTAGCACTTGGGCTAGTGCGGAAAGAGTGGAGGCAAAAGTATCGCTCGCTTCGAGCGTTTAATGATAATTCAAGAAAACCCCAGATCCTTGTTCGGTGCGTAGCAGTGTCAATGTGAAGTTATTTTTTTTTTTATTTAATTTATAGACACGATAGTGAGGTTATTCTGGATTCTGGTTTTTAGTAAAGCTTCCAGATCTATTAATTGGCGTAACGAACGGTTTTCCTAAATAAGATACCGCCTTTTTGCTGGTCCACCTTTGGTTTAACTGCTCGGCCAATCCAGACCATCCATACTCTAGCCGCCTTTTATTTAGCGTCCCTGTAGAGGTTTCAGCCATACGAAAAAGTTTAGACCCCACTACCCTTGTCTGTGCAAACCCCATCCATCGCCTCCAGATGAGCAGCAAGATCGCGCGAACGGTGCCAAAAGAATATTCACCACTTTTCGAGGATACGCATCTGTGCTAGTCGCCAAGCATGCCAATACAAATGGGATCACACAGCTACGTGTTAGTTACGACCCCGACAAAAGATGGGTTCTGGACGGTTGATGCATCTGCAGAGTGTTAAACAAAAAGCGAACAAGTGTTCCATTTTTACCGAACGATGGATCATGTGACTGGACACGCGAACACTGTTCAACTTGTCGCGCGTTTATGCAAATGGTGGGTTTTCATTTGTGTGCCCGTCTGTGTGTGTGTGGCCGACTCCCCCACCTTTGGTTTTTTTCCTTTTAGTTTTTTCTTGATTGTCTCGAGTATCTTTTGAACGAGGGTCTCTCTGCACAATACTCTGTAGAGAATCTGCTTTTGTTAATGTAGAGTATCCTATTTGGGGGATGCTATTGAGTTTTCCACCTACCCGCAGTCGTACACCAAGCACAACATTGACGAGTAGTACAACAACAACAACCACAACAACCACAACGACGACGACGACGACTACAAAGACGTTGGAACCGACGACGCATACGCCGAGTCGGATATCACTTTCTTGTTACATTCCTCCACCGCCTCCACCAGTATTGGGAGATTCGACCGTCGTGCCACCCTCGCGGAAACAACGGGGTCGGGATGCAAGTGGGTCGGGTGGAAGGGGAATATTAGCGTGGTTAAAAGATGGGAAAAGGAAAGAGGAGGATGGGAAAAGATGCGAGTTTAGGTCGTTACCGCAGGGTGTATCGCTTCATGCTGTACAAGAGGAAAATGTCCATTTGGTGAGACAGATTAATTCGGTCGTGTTTCCTGTGAGGTATAATGACAAGTTTTATCGGGAAGTGGCTGTTGTGCATCCGAAAGAGTTGAGTTGTTTAGGTACGTTTTTGCCGTTTTTATGTGTGCAAGATTTTGTATATACGTATTTTTTGAGCTGATTGTTTTTTGTGTGTTTTATTTTTTAGCATTTTATCATAATACACCTATTGGTGCTATCTGCTGCCGAAAAGAACCTATCTTAACCCCAGAAGGCACACCCACCGGTCTCTCAAGGATCTACATCATGACACTAGGAGTCCTCTCACCCTACCGACGACTCCACATCGGCTCCGCATTACTGAATCGAATCATACGACACGCGGTGGGGGATACGAGTGTAGAGCAATTATGCTTGCATGTTCAAACGACGAATGAGGAGGCTTTGAGGTTTTATGGGCGGCATGGGTTTGAAAAGGTGTGTTTATTTGAAGGGTATTATGCGAGGAATCGGGGGGTGCAACCCCCTGATGCGTGGTTTTTGAGAAGGAGGACGACGAGTGATGAGGAGGGAGGATAGATGTGCTGTTACGTGCGAGTTTTTTAAATAAAAAAAAAACGATTGTCGTTGGCGGAGATTTGTAGAGTGTGATGTGTGATGTGTGGGTCCATGTGCCAAGCCACACTTGCTTAGCAAGACGGTCCAAAGCAGATGCAGAGTAAAATACCTCGTCGACAAAAGTTGTTTACACTTTTTGAATGTCGACGGTGATTGAATGCATCAACATTATCAAGGATATATCATGCAATGTACCGTATCATGATACATTGACAAACGCAACTCGTGTCGCATGTGGGCATTATTCCATTCCCGTTCCACAGGGGTGGACGCCGGTCCATCACGATTCGATAGGTCTCATCACGCAACTCAACCAAATGGATGGGCATTCTACATGTCCATAGCGAGTTGACATTATCAAAAGTGTTGGAGGGCATATACAATG